TCCTGGGGACCGTCTGACTATATACCTTCGAGTAATTTACAGGGCCCTACCGGCGCTAGTCCGAAGGCCTTCGGCCGAGGACTAGCGTGACGGTCATTACACGTCCTTGGCATTCCTGCCAGTCACATGTTGGGTGGCCGTGGCATCGGTGCCGTCTTTGTGTGAACCCTGGAGTTGTTGATGCATGCTTCAAGTTCCCCATTAGATCTTTGAGAAGTGGTCCCGGGCCCTTCTGAGGGCATTCGTATTACGACCATGGTCTCCCCAGATCTAGCTGCAGCCCTGCAGTCGATTGCGAACAGCCCTGCTGCGTCCAGAAACCACAAATACACTGACCTTCTTGCCCGACTGACGAGCGAGCATTCGACATCGCCTGAGCAATACGCTGCCGACTTGAATGCCTACTTCGACTCGTTGCTCTCTTCTTCCCTTGGGATTATCTCTATCCGCCCTCTCGTGGCTGGACTCATCGACCGGCTCGCCACTGCTCCATCTGAGGTCAAAATCAAAGTTGGGTCACATGTCACTGAAGCCTTGCAGCCTCAGTTGGCCTCGTACGAAGAGCAGGATGCAAGAGTCAGAGAGATACTAGCGGACGGATATGAGGCAGAAGAGGAATACACCGCGGCTGCAAAAGCACTACAAGGTGTCCATCTCGAAACCACTCAGCGTCAGGTTTCCGAGCGAGCCAAAGTCGAGATATGGATTCGCATCGTGCGATATTATTTGGAGGATGATGACACAGTATCGGCAGAAACGGCCTTGAACAAGATCAAGAACTCCGCCGCTACGGCTCACGTCTTGAAGGACGCTCCTGACCTGAGACTACACTACCAGCTATCCCAGGCTCGTATCTTGGATTCTCGACGAGACTTCCTCAATGCCTCGGCCGAGTATCTCAATGTGTCTTTCAACACAATGATAGACGACGAAGAAAAACGACGAGCTCTGTCTGCAGCAATTAAAACAGCTATTCTTGCGCCCGCCGGACCCCAGAGAAGCCGGACTCTTGCCAAGTTGTACAAGGATGAGCGGTCGCCAGAGACAGAGGAGTACGGCATCCTCGAGAACATGTTTTTAGATCGTCTCTTGTCAGCGACTGAAGTGGAGGCATTCGCAGCGACATTGTCACCTCACCAACTTGCTAAGACCGCAGACGGGAGCACGGTTCTGAGCAGGGCTGTCGTTGAGCACAATCTCCTTGCTACCAGCCGACTCTACATCAACATCACCACGGCAGCGCTTGCACAGTTACTCGGTCTCAAGGATGGCAAGGAAGAGACTGCCGCTGAAAAAGCCGAAGACTATGCCGCCAAAATGATGGAACAGGGTAGACTGAGGGGCGAAATCGATCAGATAGCTGGCATCATCCATTTTGAGTCAGTTCCTGGTGTTGCTCTGAGAGGTCCACTGCGTGATCTCCGAGAATGGGACCAGGGAGTGCAAGGTCTGGTCGAAGATGTGGAGCGTTGCGCTGCAGGTATCAGTGAGAGTTTCCCGGTAAGCCGATGCGAAGCATTTTGGGTAGGAGATTCACTTGCCGAGAGCAGCCGCTGACTCATATGATGCAGGATCTTGCAGCAGAACGTATGGTACATTGATACTGGAGGCTTAACACCTTACGTGCGTTGTTCTTTGTCAGATACACAACACCTTAAATGCACCTGACATAAGGACGCCTTGCAAGGCTCGACAGGGACAACAATAAGCCGTAGTGTCGAACATCGGCTCACCCGGGCTCGACGGGACTCAAGTGCCGAGGAGGTCGGTATGCTCGACAGGGTCCGTCAAAGACAGTCAAAGGATACGAAACACGGTATGCACTTATGGTGATCGAGGCAAGAGCGGGACATCCTTCTGAACGATACTGATGTCTCGCCCTCGCCCTCGCCCTCCTAATATCGCCGAATGAACCGTGGGGCGTCCGTCCAACATATTGGGGTAAAGATGGGCTGGTACAGAAGTAGCCTTTCCTGAAGTGGATGGACCGGGTGTTGTCATCGGATGAGGACTTTTAGGAGGGAACAACGGAATTGGGAAAGACGAATCGCCATAGCTTGCCGCTGTAGTGCATCTTTCTACGGCGCGAGATGGACAATACTTGGCGACCAACGAGGGTGAGGGGAATGGGCTTGACCACCCCCAGTTAGGTGACACAATGGCGGGGTACAGGCTGCTGGGGCCTCTGGGCACTGCTAGGCGTCGCAAGGATCCCTGGGTGCCGACCTGCTGAGAGCCTGCAAGGCCTGCTAAGCACTACCTAGTTTCTTTAGATGCGCCCTGCAGTTTCGTCCAATCAGTCGTCCGCAAATCTCAGCTCTCACTTCCCGACTTCAACTTCCGTTCTCTACACCTTCGACCCGTCTACCATCGCCGCTACCCAGGTTGGCCACCGACTCGCTACTTTGTGTGGGCACCAATACCCTCCCTTGATCTGACTGATTCTACTTGCAGTATGCATTTCGGCCCCGGGCATTGCCTCTAGACTCTTCGATCTCAACGGCACAACCTTGAGGTTATATAATCTTGTTCTCTCCTCTCTCTAGTCTACAGGATCAACATCAGTCACCCTTTGTCTTGTTTGAATCGGTATCTTTTCCCAGAACCCACACTCGGAACCGTTGTAAAACTGTCGGACAGCACCGCCAGAATGTTTGTGGCATCGCTCATCTCGCCTTGGGCCCTTCTTCTCCTACCAGTCCTATACTACATCCTTCCATATCTCCGAAACTGGGCTCTCTTAAAGGTCCCTGGCCCTCTCCCAGCCGCCCTCTCGAATCTATGGTTGATGTACCAATGTCGGCGAGGGCGAAGATATCAGGTTGTCGATGACCTGCACAAGAAATACGGCAAGGTCGTGCGTATCCAACCAAATCATGTCTCAATCGCCGACGACAGTGCCATTAATACCATTTACGGCCATGGTAATGGATTCCTTAAGAGGTAAGCTAAGAGCATCATCCTAAATGAACAGCCGCATTTGGTTTCAATACAGTCTAACATGACCAATTTAAGTGAATACTATGACGCTTTCGTATCCATTCGTCGTGGCCTGTTCAACACTCGCGACCGGGCAGAGCACACTCGCAAGCGCAAAGTCGTCTCTCACACCTTCTCTGCCAAGTCCATTGGCCAATTCGAACAGTACATCCACGCCAACATGGAGCTGTTTGTGCAAAAGTGGAAGAATCTTTCTAACAACAAGAAGAATCCGCAAACTGGCTATGCATCGATTGATTCTCTTCACTGGTTCAACTACCTCGCCTTTGACATTATTGGCGACCTTGCGTTTGGGCAGCCATTCGGCATGCTGGAGAAGGAGAAGGATATTGCAGAGATCCGCAAGTCCCCCGATGCTCCACCTACTACTGCCCCAGCAATCGAAGTCTTGAATCGTCGAGGTGAGGTGTCAGGCACACTGGGCTGCCTACCGCAATTGAAACCTTACGCCAAATACCTCCCTGACCCATTCTTCAGCCAAGGCGTCGAAGCGGTGGAAAATCTCGCAGGTATCGCCATTGCGCGAGTCAAGCAGCGACTGGAAAATCCCAATACTGATCGAGTGGACCTTCTCGCTCGTCTTATGGAAGGCAAGGACGCCAATGGCGAAAAGCTAGGACGCGAAGAACTGACCGCCGAGGCCCTGACGCAACTCATTGCGGGATCCGATACCACCTCCAATACCGCCTGTGCGATCTTGTACTATGTTGTACGCACCCCGGGTGTGCTCGAGAAATTGCAAAAAGAACTTGACGCAAACATTGGCCCGGGTGTCCCCCAGTACGAGCAAGTCAGGGACCTCGAGTATGTGCAATGGGTGATTAATGAGACCATGCGGATCCACTCCACCTCGTCGCTGGGTCTTCCACGTCTCACGCCCCTGCCGACACCTGACCACCCGAATCCCAAACCTGTCGAAATCCTAGGCTACACTTTCCCTCCCGGCACTGCTCTGTCCGTTCCCTCGTATACGATCCATCACTCCAAGGAAATCTGGGGTCCTGACGCCGACGAATTCGTCCCTGAGCGCTGGTCGGAAAAGCGACTAACGCCGCGACAAAAGGAGGCTTTTATCCCCTTCTCGGTCGGACCCAGGGCCTGTGTCGGCAGGAACGTCGCTGAAATGGAACTGAAATGCATGGTCGCAACAGTATTCAGGAACTTTGAGTTCCGAGACGAGCATGAGGGCCCGCTACAGACAAGGGAGGGCTTCCTCAGAAAACCTTTGGGATTTAACGTTGGCATTCGTGTGAGGGCTAATGCTTGAAGGAGTCCTGTCCAAGCTCTCCCTAATTGATGAGAAGGAAGGATGTCCCGTTGTGCGTGATATCACCTCGGATTCGAGTGTTTTCGGGGGTTGTATTCAATGGTTGACTTTTTTATGCATTGTCTCGGTGATTCCGGGGTCTTACATTACCTATTACTCTTTCACTGTGGAGAGTGGAGATTGCGAGTTGGTCGAGCTCGAGGGTGGAAATCTCAACACCACCCGCCCCTTGACTTGAAAAACGGATGTGATGACGACGATGACGACGAAGCATGAACCGGTACACGTCCTGGATTGAGATTGAGATTGATATTGAGACCCAAGTGGCAGGAATATCTACTACGATACGAGGTACATAACATATTGGCGATTGCGAAGCTGGGCTGCTGCATTTAGTTACGGCGGAAGTAAGCATCGCCTGGAACAAGGACGCATGGGCGCAGAGCAGCAACTGTTTTCGATACCTGCAATTGCTTTTGAATCTCGTTGAAAAAAAAAGCCTCAATCTTGGATATTGAACATTGACTGTTGTTTACCGAGTGCTTGTGGGAAAAATCAAAACAAACCTTTCTTTCCATTAACTCCCGTACATGTCATGTCATAAATGTCATACAAAATTGAGTATGTAGGTACATATGTGGGTATCATTCAATTTCTATCTCTAATCTTTTTTTAAAAAATAGAACATGAAAAAAATGTACATAACATATCAGATGCTGACTGGATCGTGCTCGCTTTCCTAATCCAAAACTCTGTATAACGACAAAAAAAGCGATGCCCGGATAAGATAAACTGCGCTGCTGGGCATATGACAGTTTTGAAACCCCCGTGGAGGGAAAAGAGACAAAGTTATAATATCGAAAGTGTTGTCCCAGTGCATTGCCTGTAGGAAAGGCCCTGGTCGTTGATATAGATTCATCGTCGTTGTCAGGTCAGGCCATCATGGGAAACGGGGGACAGTGGAGGTTGGCATGACTGTATTCGAGGGTCGGGCATAATCTCATGGTGGACGGGTAAGCTGGAACGTCTCCTGTCGACGGAGGAGAAGGAGAAGAGGAAGAAGACGGGGTGGAACAAGGTGATAAGTCGCTGAGGATCGAGCCTGTCAGAAAACAAGCCATTCGGGGAATTCGGACTCTTTATAGCTTGGCCTTCAGCTTCTGAGGATCTTCATTGACCTTGTTCTCGTCCACAGCCACAATGACCAAGACGGCAATGTCGTCCACCTTCCCGCCATGCCAGGGGTCGTAAGGAAACTGCTTCTGCATCTCCTTGGCAAACGGGCCATCTCGTTTAGCGTTAAGGCTGGCGTTCTTCGCTTCCCCGACAATCGCCGCGGCCAGCACGCTCTGCAAGGTGCCGGTCGCGAGAGGCAATTGTTGGACGGAACCGTCAACGGTATCCGAAATTCGAAGCTTATGCTTGTGGGGAGCGAGTTGCTGATCCACCAGCTCAGACAGGACGGGCGAGACCGTGTAGCCTTGGTCCCTGGTTCTCAGCCAGGCACCAGTAGTGCGCATGTGTAAGGAAACAATAGACAATATGTCTTGGGAGTTGAGATTGTCCCATACACCATCCGTCGCCAAAACAAGAACGTCACCGTGCCGAAGCATATGGTCCGCTAGGTCCGCGCGTTCCGGCTTGTCATTCAAAGGCAAGCCCCCAAAGATCATGGCTTGGGCCAAAATGTCGGGCGGAGTGAGGCTCATCTGATAAGGAGTATTGAAAGCATGAGTCTGTGGGATCGAATAATGTTGCACTGCCCCTAGCCGCAATTGCAGAAAGCCTGAGTCGCCCAGATTTGCGATTCGCATGCGGCCATCTCCTTCTGTCACCGCAACACAGGCTGTTGTCCCGCCAGCGTGGATTGTAGGATCCCTTATCGTTTTCTCATAGCCTATCTCGAGAAGTTGTTTAGGGCCAAGCCGCTCTTTTAATGACCAAGAGAGTGTGGTCTCCGCCATGTAGCTACACAAGCCGTGGGAGAAGTCAGCTGGGTCAATTCCGTGCTCGGACCAGCCACCGACGCCGTCCGCAATGGCGAATGCCGTCGTCGTGGGGTCTTTTCCAACACGAGCGACAAAGTATGCATCCTGCCCGCTGTCAGGCCGTCGGATCCTCTTCTCCTCGAGCGTGGAACCACGTTGAAGACCCAACCCATCATCGTCGCTCGGAATGTACTCGTATGTGCTCAGTTCTGGACGGAATTTTCTGCCTTTCCCGCTCGAAGACGCCGCGATGTGTAGTGAAATATGCGGGATGGCGGAATCAGCCATGCTGGGGGAGGTAGAAGGGACAGTGGCTGCACGGCGCGGCGATGAGTGCAGGTTCCTAGCGTTGAACCTGTAAGGATCGAGACTTCGACGGATATTTTGGTGGAGGTCTAAAAAGACACGGTAAGCAAGGGCTGGATCGTGGCGAGAGGATTTGCCCGCACGGTGACTTAGGTGTGAAGGAGTAAATATCAGAGACCGAGCAAGGAAGGTCGGTGCTGAGCGGATGGGACCAGCTGCAGTGGACATGATGCTTTGTTCGCAGGGTTATAGGAGCAGGCGAAGGATATCCCCGCGGGTTCGGGCATTCGAAATTGTAGACATGGGACGAATCTTCTGCTGGTATCGTGTAATATTCAAACGAAAGGAGTCTCAATCGATCAAAGAGCGGGATCAGAGTAGTGAGCGCGGGGTGGTTATCAAACTGTTCAAGATAAATTTCCTTTTTGATGTCGCGATGCATATCAAGCGGTTAAAGTTCGGAAATCGCGTCACAAAATATATTCCGACGTCCAATGGACCTCAGCAGGCACCATTAACCCAGTTCAAGCTGCTTCGCACTCCAGGATAGAGTGCCACAGATTGACACATGATAGCTGACCAAACGAGATCTTTGGTGACCTCGCCTCCGTATTTGTGTCTCCGGCAAGAATGGATCGGTTCAGGTTCCTCGTCGCTGCAGGCCGTGTGGGCGGCGTTGTGCGAGGTAGAAGTCGACGATTGAGAGCGCAGGCTGGGACTATGCACGGCTCATTTGACTGAGCAGTCAATCCAATGAAGGTGACTTGCTAAGAAGACCCAAGCATAGTCGTGATGTTTCCAGATGCGGACTGCCTCTATTGTTTGCTACGAAGAACGAATCGGCCAGGCAGAGTACTTGGCATTGCAGAGGTGAAAGCCACACGCGTTCTCTTGTGTAACCTTCCCAAATGCGCTTCTATTTATGCTATTTGGCTGCAGTTACTCTTTACTGAGATTCATCTACTCTCCACATGAACACAGTCAGCCAAGTCGGACTACGAAGACTGACTCCAGTCCTCATCAACCATCATGAACACTCACGATGTCTCAGATATTCCACAGTATTTCGAGTTCCTGCGTCGGCAGAGGCAGAGTCTCCAAGAGGCACAATCTCGTAAAGGACAACGCCCTCAAGAAAGACGATCCAGGGAAGAAATCATAATGAGATTCAGATTCATGGGGACGGCTGGACGGGGCTCCTACGACAAGTTCAACCTACGATCCGCATTCATCCCTCCAGCTTATCCTCCCTGCACCAGTGCCTTAGCCGAACTGAAGAAAACGATGATCAAAGATCTTCTCCTGGAAACTCACCACCGAGGCACTTATCTACTATTAAGGTCAATTACCCCGCCAGCCAAGTTGAATGCGGTTATGACCATTGTGGAAGACGAAAGCCAGGACGTTGTCATGTTGCAGCTGTACTATCAAGAGGGAGATAATGACAGCAAGATTGAGGACATCGCTGGAGAGGGCACGATCCTGATTGTGCGAGAACCATACTTCAAGTTGATGTCGGATGGAGAGTATGGACTCCGCGTTGACCATCTCTCGGATGTGACATATCTCCCAGCATATGATCAGAGAGTCCCAAATCATTGGCAGAAAGATATCATAGTGGGTAGCGCCTCGGTCGACGATTGGAAGATCAAGGGAAACGACTTCTACAAGGGTTCCAAGTATAGAGCTGCTATCGAATGGTAAATTTCCATCGGATCCTCTCCAGTGCTTCGGAATATGTTAACGTTTCAGCAGCTATACGAAAGCCCTCGATTGTTCTCCGACAGAAGACAAATCTCGCACCATCAAGATCAATCGAGCTCTCGCATACATCAAGACGAAGCAGTTCGAAGCCGCTCTCTTCGATCTGGAATACGATCCATCTCCTCAAAAGCCAAACGAGAAAGCTCTCTTCAGTAAAGCACTAGCATTGTACCACCTCCAGAGATATCGAGAATGTCGTGAGATTCTCAAAACTGTCCTTGTGAACTATCCTAGTAATGCACCGGCCAAAACAAAACTCACTCGAACCATACAACGGCTTGCAGAGCAAGAAGACGGAAAGTACAACCTCAAGGGTTTGCGCACGGAGGCCGCTAAACTGCGACCGCCGCAGCTAGACCATACTACATTTTCAGGTCCGGTTGCAATCAGAACGTCAAATGGTCGGGGGCGGGGTCTCTTTACCACAAGAGCAGTCAAGGCTGGCGAGCTTCTTTTGTGTGAGAAAGCATTCGCGTATGCCTTTGATGATTCTCAGAAGGCTACGGCCGGGGGCAATTCGACAATCTTGATCAACGCGGAAACTAACTCCATAACTATTGGGGCTCAGGCGGAACTCATCCAATTGATCGTCCAAAAGATGTATCGGAATCCGTCCTCGGCGACTACCATCACCAATCTTCATCACGGCTCGTATGAACCTGTCAAGGTTACCGAGGTCGATGGCACACCAGTGGTTGATACGTGAGAGAATCATCATTTTGTTATTGACTCACACGTGCTGACTTGCTATCCCAGATTCCTCGTTGCGCGCATCATAAGCCTGAATTGCTTCGGATGTTCACTCTCGTCTCGCGAGACCCATCTACATCTTTTGAAGGGCAAGGAAGGACAGAGCACTCATATCTATGACGATCGATTCCACTCTTGCGGGATTTGGGCGATGGCATCATACATAAATCACTGCTGCTACAGTAACTCCAGGCGGTCTTTTATCGGCGATATGATGCTGGTGCGTGCAACACAAGACCTTGCAGCTGACACAGAGATCACATTCTGGTACTACTCGCCTGGCGTCAATGACTACGACGAGCGACGGAAAAAGTTCCAACATTGGGGTTTCATGTGCGACTGCGCCATGTGCCAGGATGAAATGGCCACGAAGAAGAGCGTCTGGGCAAAAAGAACCAAGTTGAGGGCAGACGCTCTGAAGGTCTTCAAATCTGACAGCAAAGCGAATATAGCCCAGGTTGAGACCGTCCTCGTCGAGCTTGTTGCTACATATCCTCGACCAGCTTCTGATGTGCCTCGTCTCAGTGTGTGGGACGGCCAGCTGGCCCTAGCAAAGATGTGTCTCGCGCATCGGCAACCACTCAAAGCCGTCGAATGGGGGGTGAGCGCTCTGGAATCTCTCGGCTATGTGATAGAAGGAGGAAGACTGCCACGCACTATAGGCACGCCTCTGGTTGTCAAGAAATGGGGCTTGATGCAGGACCACCTTGTCGAGTGCTGGATGGTCCTCGCCAGGGCTTACAGCCTGGTGGCTCCCGATCTCGAGGTTCTAGCGATCGAGTACGCTAGGAATTCATACAAGATTTGCGTGGGCGAAGACGACAGTTTTGACGAGACATACGGCAGGATATTCAGGGGCGCCTAGCATCCGACAGAACTGGGTGGATGGCTCGCAACGATGCTGTCTGCTGATATGGAACTGATACTTGGAAAGAAAAACGTTCGAAGCAGTTGCTCGATAGTCGATGTGTAAGGAGTCACTTGGCTATCTCCTGTCAGAGTCAGTCAAGAATAAAGTCATGTTTTCAATAGAGTGTGATCTCCCAGGTAGTTCATCCTCGCTCTTTGAGAGCAACGCATCTCGCCAGAACTATTACATCCACCCTGACCACTCAGAAAGTTATCACATACACAGGCATCCTTGTTGATTGTTACACAGCGCGAAAAACGCTCCCGCTCAGCCAAAACGAAAACGCTGCATGTCCCAGCTTCAATATAGAAGTCGCCGCAAAATTTGGTGTTTCAATTTCATCTCCCATATTAACTCCCGTCCCACAAATCTTGATACAGTCTCGAGACAAATACCAGCCGTTGTTTCTTCGGGCCTTGCCTCTAGAATTACAGAACTCAGCTTTGTCGACTTTGTGGTCCCTTCTTCGGCGTCGGTGTGAGTCAAGATTTCCGGCAGACCAATCCGATCAAAATCGTCAAAAGTTCTTGCATCGTAAAAGGGCCGAAGTCCATCCCTAGATTCGCAACTTGATACTCTTTTCAATGTCGTGAAAGGTACTCATCGGCGGCTGATCGCATCCGTTGGTCGCCACGTGCTGGCACAGAGCACTCGCGAAGCGGAAGTCGGTTGCACAGTCGGGACACTGATATCGCTTGTCGTCGAGCCAGTGATTGACATAGGTGCCGCATCTCTCGTAAGTGTCGAAGATATAGTTGTCGACATCGTCCCTATCAATCCCACTCACACACTTGCCCGATTCCAGATGGATCATCATGGCAGCGAATTCCGAAAACATGCGGTCGCAGCCGAGGCACTCGATCTTCAAAGGGAGATGACTTCGCTTGTGCTATTCAATTGCATTTCGTGTCAGCTCATCCTCGACTAGGACAGCACACGCCGAAGGATCTCGGATAACAGACCTGTGTCAGATCATTGGGGTTGTTGAAGTATTTGCCACATTCCGCACACATGTTGTGGACTTCGACGTCGTGCGATCTGAGCAGTGCGGCGGTACCAAAGTCCAGGTCGCAAGGCACACAGACGTTATGCCGGTGGGAATTGTCCACATGATACTGGCATGCCTGAGGTGAGACGAATAACCACTTGCACCGCTCGCACCACTCTCCTCGGTGGGCATCGGCATTGCGGCAGTGATTCAGACCTCCATCGAGTGAAATGAACACCCGATCGCAGGGACGACAGTAACTGTCATTGTTTTCGGGTTTGGATACGAGCTGGTTTTCCCTAACCATGATGACGGCAACATTTACCAGGTGTCTCTTGAAGGAGAGTCGCTGTCCTTGATGAGAGTGAGGTCGGAGGAAGTGAAGCTCTCCCCTCTTCCAAAGGGGGTGGTGGCTCAGGCACACACTAGCTTGGAATGGTGGCTGCTGCAAACGCCGCAAACGCCGCAAACGAGGCTGGGCAGTTTTGTTGCTGTCTCGTCCTCCAACTCTCAGAGAGAGGAGTGGCCAAAGACCTTGAGAAGACAATGTTGTACTTTCTGGCGTATATTTCAGAAACTTATCATCTACGATTTAGAGCTAGGTTAAAAGTGGAGGTGTGTTATTGTATTGGACCAAACTCAAGTAATTCTGACTTTTTCAGCCTCGTTGCATGGAGTCGTAGCCTTGCGGGAGCTCGAGTGCGGGGAAATGCGCGTGGCTTACTTCATTCCTGGTCGCTTACTAGGCACACAGTCACCGCAGTCCACTGAGGGGCTCCCAAAGGAACGGAGGCTCCAGCTTTTTAGGTGCTCGGAACAACCTCAATCATCCACTCACTTCTCGAGCTATATCAAGCCTCAGAAAGACGTCATACGCGTTTTCAAAGTTTCCCTCACCACCCTCCCGACATAATAAACCTCTATACGTCCGATTTTGTCTGAGAGTAAACAGCTCCCATCTCCCACCATGGCCGCCCAAGTGCCAGCTGCGCTGAAGACAGCCGACATTACCCGCTTCGCCCACCGCGCAGCGCAGCTCGAGAAGCCCAAGCCTATCATGGCATACTGGTGTACGGCTCAGCCTTCAGGTCTCAAGCGAAGGTTAACCTGTTCATAGGCGAATACTGGATCGTCAACCAAATTTTGTCCAAAGGCCTACACAATGCGGACGAAGAGAGCCTAGTCTACACTACAACATTGATGGACAAGCTCGAAAAGGTGTGTGTCTTGCCCTGCCTTGATTGGGAACCCTTGCTTATACTGCTGCCGTAGTTCAAAGCTGAACATGTCCAAGAACCTGCGGTAACCGACGACGTTGTGGGAAAAACATACGTGGAACAGTTTGGACTGGAAACTTTCGAAAGAGCAGACAATGCGGTACGCGCAAACAAGGCCTCGAGGCAGACGGCAGACACCTTCCAAGCTTCGGCCACCTTTCTCGATCTGCTTCAGATTTGGGGACCTGTGGAACCCGAGATCGCCGCCAAAATCAAGTTCGCAAAGTACCATGCCTTGAGAATCGCGAAAGCTCTGAAAGCTGGAGAAGATCCAAATTTGTCCAACCCCAAACCACAAACTCCGAGTGAGGAGGCTCCCCCTGCGCTGGACCCGGACGATGCGGAAGTGAAGGCGATAGAAGGAGGTAGGGACGGCACCAGACCAAGACAGCCCTCTGTTGTTGAAATACCCGACGAGGCCGACAAGATTCAGAGAAGCTTGGCGCAGAAGTCGCTGCTCGATGAATCATTACATCCCTCCCGAGACACATCAATGCCACCTCCGGCCACCAAGCAACCGTCGATTACTGACGTTCCTGATGAGGCAGATCGAATACAAAGCGAGCTTGCTCGTCAATCGTCTATCGACCAGTCTCTGCACCCTTCGAGAGCACCTTCTGCTCCACTGGGAAGCGACGTGTCTCCTCTGCCAGAGCAAGATCCTGCTGCATTCTACACAAATCAGACCGATACGGCTGATATTTCGCCGCTAGAGCCGCCCTCTGAGCGAAAGCCTTCGATAGGAGGAAACTATTTCCCCGTGGTACCATCAGCTCCGGCAGAACCAGTGCTCCCGTCACCACCAACAACGGTAGGCGATGCTGCCCCAGACCTGCCCACCGCACCTTCAGGACTTGGAAAGGTCAACACCGATATTCCTCCAGCTCCGTCTGAGCCCTCTCTTACATCCGCACGAAGCGAGCTCGGCGCCGCTCTTAACCTGCCCGCCCGTCACCAATCTCCGCCCCTTCCGCCTCACCGCCACGGTACTCCTCTCCAACCAGCTCCAATCGACTCATCCCACCAGATTCCTCCCAATTTCCAACCACAAGTTCCTCCACCTCAACTTCCAGTCAATGCACCACAGATCCGACAAGCGCGTGGTCCCGTACCACCTATTCCCCATCAACAGCAAGCCCCAGCTTCCATAGCAGCGCCGTCGCCGATTCATCCTACCCGGATAGCGGCAGTCTCACCCCCACAGCCTCAACCGGTTAGCGTTGAGGTTGACGAGGAGGCGATCTTGAAGGCGCAGAAGCACGCCAGGTGGGCGATTTCTGCGTTGAACTTTGAGGATGTCCCAACTGCAATTCAGGAGTTGAGAGGAGCATTGGCCTCTCTGGGTGGTCTTTGATTTGCGGTGACGATGGAATCACTTTGTTATCATAAGCGGCATCCCGCCGCGAACGTCGGGGAAGTTGGAGGGCTGGAACATTTCTTTATACCCAGAGCACACAGCATGATGTATAAATAAGCGTCAAAGCGAGAGTGTCCTGTATCATGTATACCGTTGACACTGAAAAGGCATGAGAAATCACACCAACATTAAACCCGCGCCTACTTCCTTTCCTTTCCTTTCCTCCCTTTTATAGATGCACGCGACCACGAAATATACATGTACATGGTCCCACGCCGACCATGATAGGTGAACCAGAAAATTGAAAATAGACTTTTCAGAGGAAATGGTATTTTTTCGTAGTGAAGTAGGAAATGAGGAATATATCCTTGTCCCCCCCTCAGGGGATCTCTATCCCTTTCTCTATTTCGGGTCCTGTTCTACTTCTCCCTTCTATACTCTGTCCAATTTTTTGGTCTGTGGTTTAGTTTGGTTTGGTCCGGGTTGGTCAACTACGTAACTAACCTCTCTCCCAAAGCATTTTAGTGTTTTGTCTCGTCGTGATTTCGTTAAGAGGGTAGAAAAGTTCATACACAGGGGAAAGGGCGAAAAGATGTTGAAATGAATATGCCCGGATGAGAGAACCAGATTTCATGTCTGTTGCTCGATACTTGACCGATCTGATTGAGGTCATGTTTTCCACCCGTAGTGGGAGTAGATGTCAGCGCATTGCGAACGCTCCGGTTCGTGAGCGCAGTTGCAGGGCCTCGCGTCGCCCCTATGTGAAATTTCATATCCAGGTGGAAATAGGAAGGCTTGTGATGGTGATGGGATGGGACCCGAGCAACTCAACCACCAAAGCTCAGTCAAACAAATCTCCCGCTCGCCTTCTCACTCGCTTCTCCCTGACCGGTTCGTCGAAGAGCTCTTTTCCTTCGTTCCTCCCGCTGCTCCGATTGTACTGATTGGGGAATAATTCCTTCACTTCCAGAGCACGACCCTTGATACTCAGCCCTCCTGAGCCTTTGATACTGAACCCGCCTCCAGCACCTGAGCCCTCGGACGATCCCTTGATAGCGAGGCCGCTAGCATTCCCACCACTCGACGGGAATAATTCAACTCCTGCGTTTGAGGCCCCATTCCTCATTGATTTGGTGCTGTCGATCGAGATACTCTTTCTGGCAAATCTCTCGGCGAGATTCTCTTCATTTTTGGCGTCCATTGCGTGGCTCCTGCGGTGATTTGAGCGAGGGGAAGTTTGCGCGGCGGACAGAAGATCAGCCTTCAGGCGTTTCGCCGCGGCGGCATTGGCCCGATTTTGTGTGGCATCGATGGTCGGTCTAGGTGCTGCTGGAGCTGGATCGGTCGACATTGAGGTGTCTGCATCCGAAGTTTTGTTGGGAAACAGCTCGAGTTTATCGGATCGGAGACCACCACCCGTCTTGTTGTCTGAGGTGGATGCTCCGAATAGCTCTTTTCCTGCATTGGAGCGCACGCGGTCACCGCGATCACGATAGCCTCTCCGTCGAGTCCGTCCGTCATCATCCGAATCCGAGATTTCGATGTCGTCGCTGCCACGCATGCGCGTGCCTGGACTAGCGCTCCGTCGTCTCGCTTTCGTGGCGCGTGGAAAAAGGTCTCGACCTCTAGCTTTATTGATCTCTGTGTCCGTTGTAGGTGCATCGTCGTACATACTAGCCGAGAAACCTCCCGCATCATCACCATTTGCGCGGTCATTATCTCTCCTTCGCCTATAGAGTTCGCGATCGTCAAATTTTCTGCGCCGATAGTCTCCGCGACTATTCTCGAACTCTTTCCGCATTCGTTCCGTAGGATCTTGGTCCGGGTGCATGAGATAGTATCTGCTTGCATCTCTAGCACCTTTCTTCTTCCTGTCACCTTGCTGAGCGACGCGAACCACAAGCATACTTCCCGGCCTGCTGGCCAATTGTTTCGTGGCGCGCAATTCGAACGGGCTGTTCGTCAATTCTTCGACCGTGACCGAGTTCGCGACGAATGCCAGCTGCGCTCGTTTTGCGGTATCACTGTCATTGAAGCAAATGTTCGCAGAGGTATCGTCGATCCATTGGACATGTACGTTGTCGCCGACTTCACTAAAGTGGTCGTGTACAAAGGCAAGAATGTCACTTGTGTGCATTTCGTCAACACCGCGAATGTGGACTTTGTTCCATTGCGGTTCGAGGGCGGGGTCTTCGGTGTAGATGGCTGGGATGATATTCGAGGAGTCGGTGGCAGCGGGTGCGCCAGAGGGGACAAACGACGGTTCTTCGCCTTCCTGTATGGGTGATAAGTATGGGACCATGCATTCCAGCGTTGGTGAGGGAGATATGCGAATCATCGTACTTCAAGCTCAAACTCATCATCAAGAGGTGGGCCTTGATCATCCATATCCATGTCGATGTCGATGTCCATCAGATCGGCGTCCTGCGCCGACGTGGCCATTGTTGGTTGCATAGCCAAAGCCATGTCTCGAATGAAGGGCCTTCCGGGGGGGGGTTTGGAGGGTCAGAATCAGACGGTAGTCTGAGTAAATAGGGAGATTGATGTCTGAAGAAAGGCTTAAACGAGATCGAACATTCTTTATAGTGACGAAGCGAGGCTGTCGCATCCGAGAATCGTGAACAAGCTCCCAGCCGAATAAGTAGTGAAATCTGACCCGATGTGACTGTGGAAATGACGTAAATGGCGGAATCGGGATATGAGTGTCATATAATACAGATGGGAATCAAGGTCAGAGGAAGATGGCGGCAGGCGCAGAGACAGAGAGAGAAAAAGTGGTTGATATTACATGGTGGGAAAACGTGAGGCTCAGACCAGCTTCAAGGCTCAAAGTCACAGCGACATCATTTCTTGTCCCAACACCCGAGTTCGGTCGAATATGACGCTGCTTTAGTGGGTGTCTCCTCACTAGTATCACTCCGCATTTCCCTCCCCGCCGCCGAGCCGATGACCGGCGACTTGAGAGGAGCAAATGAGTTAGTCTGACACACATTTCTCGATTCACACGCAGCCAGTTCCCACGTTGTCACCTGTATTTATTTCCGTCAGACAGGTCGCCATATTCTCCATCAACGCCGTGTCTCGCTCTGAGCGCGCAAGGAGGATGGCGAACCTCGGGTGGTGTATCACTATATATATCTGGGCAAGATGGGTTTGCGACAAGGCTCTTCGAAGAAGATATCGCATGCCTGGTCGCACCTCAGGTAGGACTCGAACAATCCGCCTTTATCCAGATATCATCGCCCCAGCTTGCTTGCTTTGATCGTCTCGGACGATGAATGCCACTACAGCTTTGCGGCTGGTCCGCCCGTCTCGCCCTACTCTACGCAATGTCCTTCCTTCTTTTCTGAATGCACCAACCAAGAGAAACATCTCGATACAGCGAGTGGCCGGATCACTGGGCGCCGAGATCCACGACGTTGATCTCGCCAAACTCTCGGAAAACCCAGGTGTTGTCAAGGAGATCCGAGAGGCTCTTCTGGAACATCAAGTCATATTCTTTCGCAACCAGAACTTGGAACCCAAGGAATACCTCGATTTCACCGCTCACTTTGGCAAACCCGTCGAATATCCCTTTGTCCGCGGCATTGACGGCTACCCCGAAATCATCCAAGTCCTCAAACAAGAACACGAGGTCATCAACTTCGGAGGAATCTGGCATTCGGACACCTCCTACTTTGAAAACCCACCGATGGGGTCGGTGTTGATGGCGAAAGAAGTCCCCCCGTATGGTGGCGACACGTTGTTCGCGAATCAGTACGCTGCGTACGACTCTCTCTCGGAGGGACTCAAGCAGACGCTTTTGCCCTTGAAGGCCGTGAGCACCTCCGCCAAAGCCGACGCCAGCAAGACCCGCGAAGACCGCATCCGTGACTCGGGAAACGCAGCGGCAGCGTCCTCGCTGGAAGCACTTCACCCTGTCGTCCGAACACATCCCGAAACCGGCAGAAAGGCCCTCTACGTCAACGTCGCCCATACCTCCCATTTCGAGGGTTGGACAGAGGACGAGTCCGCGCCGCTCCTGCAGTTCCTGTTCCAACACCAGGTCAAGCCGGAGTTCACGTGCCGGTTCCGCTGGCAAGTGGGCAGCATAGCCTTTTGGGACAATCGATGCGCGCAGCATAACCCGATCAACGACTATCATGGATTCCGACGGAGGATGCTGAGGATCACTCTGGAGGGTGATCGACCTGTATAGGAGTGCAAAAAAGAGTTATTGCTGAGCGCTTTGAATTTTGCCAGAAGATACTTTGTTTCCCACCATTCCCAAGTGACCTCACATCTAATGAGTGCGCACAAGAAAGCCGCTGTTCGTGCATTAGATCGAGGTACATATATCCAAAGCATGTTCGTTAACCAAAGTATTCCGTTGCCCAATGATCCTGCAGAGCTTTCCAATGCAAACCGAGCCAACTGCAGCTGACGCCCACCAAACACGCCCAGTACGTAACTATTTGCGCCTATTCATTCCTTGAAACTCAAAGCCCACAATGTCTTTTCTCGCAGCTCAACATGCTGCCTTCTGATACCAATTGATACTTTTGTCGTTGGAATAAGAGATATGCAGCGCCAACTGGCCTTTCTCCAACTAATACAAACGTTGTGTGATGGCCTCACACCGCGGTCACGGTACCGGCTACCACAGAACCTGGCCTCCACTCATCATCACTGTCGTCTCGGCCTTTTCGTTTGCGCGGGGTACTTGAGTGAACCGGTCCCTCGTTGTCCCTGTCAAGGGTGTACTCCGATGCGTCTTCATCAGACTAGAAACTCTGGAGAGCGTCGACGTCTGGTGCTACGAGGTTTCTGGTGGGAAGAAGAGGCTCGAGTGGTCCTGCGGCGTTGTGACAGCAAGGAAGAAGACTCCGACTTGGATCTCCTGCCTTGCTTCGAAGTCGCCAATGGTGCTGACTTATTTCTCCGTTCGTCAAAGCTGGAGCGAGCACGGCCAACGCGATTCCAGAAGTTCTTAACAGCACTGTGACCAGTTCTCGTCACACCATCCTGGAGTTGCATACGACTCAAGGCCTCTCGAAATCGTGCTTCCCCTTTGAGTTGTCGCTCGCGGTGGATGTCGAGCATGTGGCGGATACACGCCTCCTCCTCCCACAAGGCCCAGGAACGGGTGGGTTGTTGAAGGCGAGAAGCAGCAACAAGATGTGCAGGAGCCGGATATGGCATCAGCCCCAGCTCCTGCCCCCCCTCACCGCCGTCATGATCGTCTTCACCTTCATCAGCGCTGTTGCTGGGGGCGGACGAAGCGGTGTTGATGTTGGAAGGCGTCACAGGACCAGCCTCTGACGACATCTCGTTGGAGGTGGTGGTGCCATTCTCCTCACTGTCGCTATCCTCGTTACTGCTGTCGTTGCCCTCATAACTAGGACCATCACCATCGCTGTCACTCTCCCAGTCACCGCCCTGCTCATCGTCATCTGCATCATACTCGTCCTCGTTTTCTTCTTCTCCGTCGTCGTCTTCTTCCTCATAGTCCAGGGACATAAACACATCGCCATCATCAGCAAGTGCCTGTCCAGCCACCACACCATGTCGCATTGCGTCATCTTGTATGGCGCCACTCGGTATTCCATTCACCACCTGTTCGTCTGCAAAAGGATCTGACACATCGCCAAAAGCAGGCCAGCCGCGGCTGTTTGCCTTGTCCGCGAGAATTGTGCTGAAGAATTCCGATATACCAAAGCGTTCCGCCAGGTATCTCGACAGGGCGTCTGGATGTGCATCGAGATAGTCGAACATCTCAGCGTCATTAAGAGGGAGTATTTGGACAATCGGCTGGCAGATGCTAGACACAGCATCCAGAAAGAAGGACTCGGTTGCATCGGTAAAGGACATTTTTACCAAATAACTGCTTGATAGACGAGAGAGATAAAGAACAATGAGGCAAAAGGGTGGATGAGAGATGAGGGCAAGGAGTAGAAAGAGAGCTCATGGCTTTATATAAATACATTTCGACAGCAAATCCTGAATGTATAGAGGCCATTTATATTGTACTTATTCGGACACAATATCATGCATTCAATGTTAGTGATGAGTTGAATTGACTGGAGTAGGCCGAGACACAATGGGCTTAATAGGAGCGATGTGACATGGACTTCGTCGAGCCGAGTATTCTCGACAATAGGAAATGAATGATAGGAGAGGATCAAAAATATGAGCGCTGTGCCTCACCCATCGGTCCATTCTCGAAGCATTCAATAGGACCCCGACATTGCGAAGGAGCAAGAATAGATGTCACCGAAGTCAATACCAATATTCACTGACCTCAAAACACTTTGCCCGTGTCAAAGGAAATGCTGCTCAGCCTTGCTGCCATTTGCCCCTTTACGACAAGGCTTTCATTTTCACTGGACGCGGACATGGCAGTAACACCTAGGGCGAGAGACGTGGGATGCGCATACAGAATGAGATCTTTGCGTCACAAGCGTGGAGATGTATGAAGAGGATATTCACTCCGTCGAATATCAAGACGACAATCGGCAGAAGGGATGTGTTGTCGGTTGGAAGACATCAGGATTAACGTCGTATAGTCCACCGTATATTTTTATCTCATGGCAATACGGAGGATCATACATTGGCCGTGGTCAACATCCTGCACATGCACTGCGCAACTGCTCAACTGATCTCATGCGCTTCGCTTTTGTTTATGCACAGAGTCAACCAAGCTAGCCATGCCATGGCCCAAGCTGTGGTCTTCTTCGACAAAGGATGAATCCGAACCCCAGAAGCCTCTCGCTGAGAAGGCCACAGATTCGTGGGGTTCAGGGCCTGCTGGGCACGATCAGCAACAACCTGCTACATCCATCCCTCCACAATTGAGAGCCTTCACTCAACCCGAAACTATCCTTGCCGCGGCTATACTGACGACAGTTTCCGTCGGCACGTACAAACTCTACAAGTCCTATCTGCGCAGGATCCCGCAGGCGATTAACATCAATCCGGGGTTCTTTCGGCGGAGAAGCATCGTAGGTCAAGTTACGAGCGTGGGAGATGGAGACAACTTCCGCATGTATCATACGCCGGGGGGCAGATTGGCTGGCTGGGGTTGGTTCCCGGGACGAAGAGTGCCAGTGAACAAAAAGGATCTGAAAGACCAGACGGTACATTGGTGTAGGTCACAAGCTCAAGGCCATGGGAACTAACGCGGCGAGTAGATACATGTCCGCCTCGCAGGGATCGACGCCCCCGAACTTGCTCATTTTGGACGGCCTGCACAACCTTACGCGCAAGAAGCGCTTGACTGGCTCACTGCCTACATCATGGGGAGGCGTGTTCGAACCTATGTCTACAAGGCAGACCAGTACAGCAGAGTGGTGGGCACCGTCTACGTCTGGAAGGGCCTCGTGCGTCGCGACGTCAGCCTTCAAATGCTTCGGGCAGGGCTTGCTACGATCTACGAAGCGAAGTCGGGTGTTGAGTTTGGGAGGGCCAAAGAAGAGAGGTACAGACGCGCGGAATGGTGGGCGAAGACCAGGAGAAAAGGCATGTGGGCGGCGAACAGGAAAGACTTTGAGAGTCCGCGAGAGTACAAGACCCGTCATGGGGTTGGAAGTCCCCAGGATGGAACGAAGCAATGATGTAAGGCCAAACCCGTACCAGCTTTCGGGCGAGGCATTGTGGGAGCTGGATGCGCATCCAAATGGTTCAGAAACAATTGATGGCATTCAACCTGGCCTTTGCTTTGCTTTGCTCCCCTCATATTCACGTTTACTGGAAGCCCGAAGCGGATCACGTGATCGTATGTGGTTGAATCTCGGGCTTAACCTCATGAACCTCAATCTTGGTTTCCTTCTGTTATCGAGACTTGTCCCAGAAATGCCCGCCACAGACTCGCCCGCAGTCATTGTAGCCCGCTTTCTGAAAGCAAACCATTACAACAAGGTTGGTCATGACCGCGGACTGCTTTGAGTCCGAACGTGGCGCTCTGAACTGATGACTGTAGACTCTCGAAGCATTCCTCATCGAAGCAGGACTCTCCGAGGACGTAGCGATCACTAATCCGGGTGACTGGACGATTGAAAAGATCATCGAGGAGAAGAAACAGTTCGATGCCAGTCTCGCCTTCGAAAAGGTCGGCGGCGATGCTGATGTCGGGTGGATAACGCCTGCTCCCTCGAAAGCGGTTGAGCCGGAGGGTGTCCCTACCACGTCAAATGTCCTCTGCGTCAGCGGATTGAGCAGCAAAGAGAACAACGACGCGGTAATCTTCGTCACCGCCGCCGACCGCTCATGGTGTAATGTCTCGGCTACACCGCCATTCACTCTGACAGGCTCGATCGAAAATGCTCACGGAAGTCCGGTTCTATCCCTCAGCTCTCTGGACGGAGGCTATGTCTTCTCGACATCCATGTCAGGACAGCTGATGCTACATGACTCGCAGGGTCGACTGATTGATAAAGTACGCGATCATCTCAAATACGCCGTGCAGGTGGTCTCAGGATATACTCGTCAGGGACGATGGATCGTAGCGACGGCCGGGTGGGATCAGAAAGTCCATATCTATGCTCCTGAGCATGAACTCGCAGGGAACTTCCAGCCCAGCACGGAGTCGGAGACAGCTGGCGATGAGCCCTTCATTCAGGGTCTACTTCGCGACCCGATCCACACCATTACACTGCCCACGAACCCAGAGTCCATGGTTCTCGTCCAAAACCCAGATACTCATGATCTCTACCTTGTCCTGTCTCGACGCGACTCTACCTTCCTTTACTACTACTGCATCACACCCACATCTGACGAGTCGTCTTCATCTCGGAGCAGCGAAGTTACATACTCGGTTCAAGAGACGGGGCGGCAGAATCTCGCACCTCACTCCAATGCTTGGGTCGCATTTACCCCTTCCTGTCTTGCTGTGTGTCCGACGGACCCTTCCCTCTTGGCCGTTGCAACGTCTCACCTTCCACACATGAAGCTCCTTATCGTCCGACTCCTCTTCCCCACGGCGACCTACAACTCGACCAACTCCATCGCCCTAGACAACGGGTCAGAACCGCAAAACCAAGTCTCGCAAGCCCGCGCGGCCCTAGCACTGCAAGACCGCGAAGATGCCGCCATAAAACTGCACGTGACGACCATGGCCCCTCAAACTCCTTACTCTACGCCGCAGGTCGTTTGGCGACCAGGTGGGAAGGGGGTGTTTGTGAATGCAGATGACGGGGTCATCCGTGGTTTGGACACGCATAGTGGCAAGGTCGTAGCCACCCTCAAGGGACATGAGGTCGGAAGTAAAGTGCGGACATTGTGGGCCGGCTGGGAAACCGCTGAGTCTGGCAGTCACGGGCATGGAAAGGAGAGAAAGGAGATTCTTGTCAGTGGTGGGTTTGATAAGAAGGTGCTTTTCTGGCGGGTTCACGCGGGAGAGATGGGCGTTTCTGACTGAGAGCGAGACATAGGTGAGACGGCGGCGTTGGGGTAAACCCCATCGATCATTTGAAGAAGGGATTTTGATACCTCGTACATGGTAGACAATATTGTAGCCGGCTTCAGGCCATATCTCATCCTTATCGCGCAACCTCGATAGTATTGTCCCCCTTGTACGAGGCTCTTGTACCTTGTGGAAGATTTCACATGGCCTTTTATGTGTTGACGCGCGTCGTTGTCGGAATCTGACCTTCCGATCTGGCTCACATAGGTGTCATTTGTGTCATTGCACGTCATTTGAAACCGGATCCAATTTTCTCCGACATCCTCGGCCATTTGCAAAGGGGGCGAGACGCGGTCCAGGCGCATGGCATGATCATCGACCCAACGCTCAGTGGGTGTAGACCACCATTCTTCATTTCTTTTCCATTGCCCGCAAGTTCCTGAGGCGTGGCATCGTGGTTGTCTGCACATCCTTTCCTGAATGCCCCTTAGCAACCCGATAATGGACACTGTCGAGGGCGAATTCACCACCAAGGATGGCACAAAGCTATATACCAAAACATGGAAGGTACGGACCCGGCCGGAAGCATCTCTCGCTACCACAGGCCAACCAGCACATCGCGATGCGTTGTTGATGAATCTCTGCACAGTCTCTCTCTCTCTCTGACGATTTGTCTTCTCTCAAATCTAGCCCCGAAGCGATGCAGTGCAGGCCGTCTTGATCTTCCTTCATGGGTTCTCTGACCACATTAATGGTATATTGACCCCCGGCAAGTGCATGCAGCTTACTGAGAGACTTACATCTTCTAGCCTACTACGATCTCTTCCCCACTCTGAGCTCGTCCCCGTTCAACATTGCCGTCTACGGATTCGATCAAAGGGGTTGGGGCCGATCATGCCGCAAGCCAGCAGACAATGGCAATACAGGCCCCACGGCACTGGTCCTATCCGATCTTCATGATTTTGTTCTCCATGTGGCATCGTTGCCCGAGACTCAGGGCAAGCCACTGTTCCTGATGGGCCACAGTATGGGTGGAGGTGAGGCTCTGTGCTACATGCTCTCCACATCTACGGAGTATTCCAATCGACCTACGATCTGTGGTCTGCTCCTCGAAGCGCCTTATGTGGAGATACATGCGTCCAATCAGCCATCCTACTTGAAAGTTCAGGCGGGCAAGTTGGCCGCCGCGCTTCTGCCCCGTACACAGCTCAAACAAAAGCTGAGTGCAACGTACATGTCCCGTTCGCAGACGGTCTGTCAAGACTGGATTGACGACCCACTGTGCCACGATACTGGCACGCTAGAAGGACTCAAGGGACTCTTGCAAAGAGAGGCAGAACTTTCGCATCTCTCCCATGGCCGCACCATACCTGGCTATACAACAAAAGCCCCGTGTCCCCTGTGGTTCTCCTTTGGTACCGGCGACCGGATCTTGTCGTACATCGCCGCGCAGCAACTATTCAATGTCTTG